TTGGAAAAAATGAACTTCACAGTTGAGGAAATGCAGAGAAGAATTAAAAGTGTACCAATCAAAACCAGGGGGGAAATGAGCTACAAACTTAAGTAAGAAAGACCCACAGGGCCGCCTGGATGGCTCAGTCCACTGAGCGTCTGACATCAGCTCAGGTCATGAGCTCGAAGTTCCTGAGATCCAGCTCGGTATCGATCAGGCTCAAGGCTGTCGGCACAGAGCCCTCTTCGGATCCCCACTCCCCTCCTCCCCCGTGCCTCCCCTGAGCTCTCTCTCGAAAATAAATAAAACTTGAAAAAATTTAAAAAATAAGAAAGACTCATATTTACATTAAAAAGCATTATCACGTATCAGCAAAATGATTCCAAAGCGGCCCACATTAATTGATGTGCTTGCTCACACACAAGTAGGATGCGAGGCAAGCACTCACACAATTCCCTGTATTTCTTCTTAGAATGCAGCTATTCTTGAAAATACTTGTTCAATGCTTGTCTTTCCCACTGAGTTATAAGCTCAGTGGAAAAAGGGTGCCATGGCGGGTCCTCAGCAAGATAATAGACACAACTCAGACACAATATAACCCTCCCCCCGACACTCCGGGGGTCCCCCAGCTGTCCCCTCCTGGCTCTCCATCCCCGAGGGGCTGCCGTGTAAACGCCATCTCAGCCTGGGCTGTTCCCAGGTGCCCGGGCCCCACCCACACCCACGACATCCATCTCTAGTGATGGCGCCTGGGAATCTGGATGTTCGCAGTCTCTGGGAGATTGCTCAGGCACCTCAGATGGAGGACCGCCACCCTAGGAGCCTTCTCAAGGCGACCAGTGGGCCCCAACCTGGGGGTCCCTGTAGGGGCGGGGCACCTGCAGGTGTTGGGGGAGCAGCTGACTTCTTCCAGCTACACGACCTGGACACACGTCCTCGGTGACGGGCTGCCCCTCTGAAGTCATAGGCTGGACTCAGGTGTAGCCTGGTCAGTCAGGCCTCAGAGGAAAAGACCCATGAATGGATGTGGGGGCTGTAATTCCTTCCTGGGCCACAGAAGGCTTACTGACTGCGCTAACTGGCTGGGGCTGTGTTACACAGCACCACTGTGTGTCGCCTCATGGTCCCGGAAGCCAGCAGTCCAAGCTCGGGGTGTGAACACGGTTGGTTCCTCGTGAGACTCTGTCCCTGGCTGCTCCCCCTCGAGACTCAGAGATGTCTAGCAATCCTGGACAATCCCCGGCCAAAATCTCTGCCTTCGTGTTCCCGTGGCCGATTTTCCCATTTCCAAAACTCATGACAAGAGCAGCCAGGATCAGCGGGCCTGGTCCCCACCACCACCGGGTGAGCAGCCAGCATGCAGGGCCCTGAGCAGAAGGAAAGGGTTCTCCTGCCATGTTGCGGGGTGCTGTCTCGTGCGTCTGCAGCCACCCCAGACATCTGTATTTGTTTGACCCTTGTATTCGTTAGAAGAAAACACGTGTAGCAGGAGCCCATGTGAGTCTGGACTAGATAACGTGGGGAACAGTCCTGAGGTTTCCAAGTGACTGACCTTCAGACGCCTGTTACCTTATGAATAAGTTCGGCACTGGAGATTGGGGGAGAGACTCATGGGGAATGTATGTCAATTACCGATGATAATAACAAGTAATCCATGTATAATAATGATTATGTGCCTATCATAAATAATAATTATAATGCTAAATAATTATATTTTTATAACAATCTAATATTCGAGCTAAGTTTCTATGTGTTTAATAATAAAGGGAAAGGAGCTTATAATTGCCATGTTTTGAGTTTAGGGACCTCACCTTGTCTGTATCGTGGGTCCCCAACGTCCCTTCTGCGTTTTTCTAAGAGTAAAGCCTCAAAGCGAGAGAGGAGACCAGATTCTGGCGTGTGGCCCGTGACAGAATCCACACTGGAGTCAGATACCGAAGGCTTGTGAAGGCGCCCTGGGCCCACGGACCAAGGGTGTGGACCTGCGTTAGCTCTCGCGCGCTGACCTGCTCCGGGCCAGCTAGGACCGGCTTCGCTCTCTGGAGGACACGCAGGGGCTGCCTGAGGCCTGGCCAACCGTTCTGGAAAAGTGGTTCCGCCAGCATCTCCTGATTCCCTAAATCGTGCTAAGTCGGAGTCCAGGGTGAGCTCTAAACTTCAGACAAGCCACAAGACACAGGCCCATCCTAATCTTTCACTTTGGGAAGTTCAAGCTTCTTACATCAAAAATGTCCCTTTCTGGTTTCTTATCTATGCTATTTTTTAGGGGTATTTTCCCTAGCTGTAGGTCAATAAACCATCGCTGAGAAAAGTGCTATAGGCCCAGACCCAGCTGACCCAGCCTCAGGCCGGGAACAGTGATCTCCCAATTGGGAATCTGCTGGTCTGAGTTTCTGACCACATGACTATAGAATGGAGGGACCCGCTCTGTAGGTTCAATTAATTTGCTAGAGTGGCTCACAGAACTCAGAGAAAAGTTTTATTTACCAGGTCACCGGTTTATTACCATAGGATGTAACTGAGAAGCAGGCAGGTGAGGTCTGCGGAAAGGGCACAGAGCTTCAGCCCTCTGCCGGGTACCTCATTCCCTTTGCTTCTCCAAGGGTCCCCCAGCCTGAAGCTCTCTAAACCCCGCCCCTGAGATGTTTATGGAGCTTCCATTGATTGAATCCTAGGCCATTGGTCCCTGCACTCAACCTCCAGCCCCTTCCCCTTCCCCTGGGAGAGAGGGGACCTCAGAGATGAACTGAAAGTTCCAACCTTCTAACCAGGAGGTGGGTGCTCCCTGCAACCAGCCCCCTACATTGATGCAAAGTCTCCTTATTAGCATCACAAGAGATACCTTTATGGCTCTATTTTCTTGGGAAATTCCAAGGGTTTTAGGCGCTTTGTGCCCCCATAAAACAAAGAGACCAACTTTGTGTGTGTTACTGGAAATCCCAGGCTCACGTCACCCCACTGTGTTCCCTTCTTACACCCAGTTCACCAGGCTCCCTCCTCTGGGCTCCCAACCTGGCCCCAGGCTGGGGTTCGCTTTCTGTGTCATCCAGGCACATTCTGGCCTGGGATGAGCTTGGAATTCAGTGAGCAGCTAAAGGAACTGAGAACACTCATCATTGTGAAGGATATTGTTTCTTCACAATGGAAAGAGACTCACTTTGTATTATTCAAAAAGGAAAAAAAACAAAAACCATCCTAAAACGGAATCCTTTTATACCAGCCCCTTTTCTTTCATTCCATCTGTTTCAACGTAAAAAGAGAGTTCCTGTTTGTCTTCGCGAGATCTTAGCTAGACTTGGAAAATCTGATTCCCCTGCACGTACATTCAACATAATTAGAAATAAAGATCGTATTTATCAAGCATGGGAAGAAGGAGCCTCAGCCTCGTGCAGAATTTTTGCCAGACCCCGATGTGTTGCCCAAGCCACCTCCCCGGCGCCCAGGGCTCCCCGGAGAGAGAGCTCGTGCCCAGGACACTGCGACAGACAGACGCGTGTCCTGAGCTGGACGAAGGGGACGGCCGAGGCAGATGCCTTGAAAACCACCCCCAGTGCAGGCCATTCTGTAAAACTATTTTCATTCTGAAGAGTGTTTTCAAATAAATGAATATGAGAGAGAGAGCGTGCGCGCAGGAGCCAGCCACTGCACAGCCAGGGGCTCTGGGTACCTGACTCTTCAGGACCGCAGGACAGAAGACACCTGCGGGCTCAGAGCTAGCCAGGCAAAGGAAGCCAGAAAGCACAGACCCCTTCCTCCCCACCTTCCTCTCCAAGACGCGCAACAGAGGTAAATGTGGGACACCGGCGCCACGGGACGCGGCCCTGCCGTCCAGCACCTGCCGGAGGTAAGCGGTCGCGGAGGAGAGGAGCCATCAGAGCAGCAGAGCGGCCACAGGCACCCCTGGGCGCGAGAGCACGCGCTGGCGCACGCCTGCACAGACGCACACGCGCATCCACATGCGCGCACGAGTGGGTACTGAGGCGCAGAGGCGCCGCATTCGAAGGCGCAGCCGCGCGGGCGCACACATGCCCTGGCAGAACACCGACTGGGCTTGCTGCCAGGCCGGGGTCCGTGGGGCACCTGCTGCTGCCTGGGCCTTTGGCAGCCCAGCCCCCCGCGAGGGCCCACACCAGTCGCAACCCCAAGGCCTCCCGACGGACTGGCTACACGCGGGCAGCCACGGCGACCCAGGCACGTGTGGCAAGGCCAGGGGAGGGCGGGTGGCCCCGGGGCCAGGGGCGTCCCTACATCCTCCGGGACTTGACCAGGAGATGGAAGCTGCTTCCTCGACCCCCTTGTCTCCCATCACTTTCGCAGCCAAGAGTTGCGCACGCAGCATACACGCAGATGCGCACGGCCCTCCGATGCTCTGCGCGCCGCGGCTCCGCACTTGATCTCCCACGAGCCGCGCAGCCCCCCTCGGCAGGTGTGGGCGCCCGAGGCGGCGCAGGTCTGGCCTCGGGGGTGCGGGGCGGGGAGCGCTCGGCGGACTCGGCGGGAACGCGGGTACCGAGGGCGCCTGGAAAGTTACCCCGGCTGCTCCCCACTCGGAGCCTCCGAGCCACCCCTCCACCCGCGCGGCCCCGGAAGGTGGGCGAGGCGCCGAAAGCCGATCGGGAGCGCGGGGATCCTCCTCCCGCCCGCCCCACCCCGCCTGCTTTCTCCGGCCTCTACCCTCCCCCTCCGGTCCCCCTCCGGCTCTCCACCCCGCCGCCCCCGCCGACTCCTCCCGCTGCCCGCTCCCCTCCCCTGCCCTGCTCCTCGCGCCGCTCTCCCACGGTGCGGGCTGGGGCGCCACCGCCTTCCCCGCCGCCGCGGCCGCCACTCCGCCCCCCGCGCGCTGCGAGCCGCGCTGATAAGGCCCCGCGGGCGGCGGAGAGCGGCGGGGCAGCTCTGCGCGCCGGGTCCGCGGTGCCCGCTTGCAGCCGCCCGGCTGGGGGCCCAGCCCGCGGCCCCCGGCCCCTCCGAGCGCCCCTGGGTGGAGCGGCGCGTTCCCCCCGCGGGGGCGCAGCGCGGCCATGCGGGGCCCCGGGTGCGCGGCGCTCTGCGTGCTGCTGCTGGCGCAGGTGGGTGCGCGGGGGAGGCCCCGACGGTGCGGCGGGGAGCCCGCGGCGGCCCTGGCGCGGCGCGGCTCTCACCGACGTGTCGCGGCTGTTTTCCAGCAGGCACCTGCGTGCTGCGTGGGACCCGCAGCGGCCTCGGCGGGGAGCGCGGGCGTCCGGCGACCTCCCGGGCCCGCGGAGTGGCCCGCCTGGATGGCGGAGGGCGGTAAGTCTGCGGGACGGGGGTGCAGTCCTCGCCGAGGGGCCGCCGGTGCTGCTGGTTTCCCAGGCGCTGCGAATGTGCTCGCAGGATGAGCCGCGCTTCCTCGCCTGGTGAGCGAGCGCCTAGGAGCCGGGGTCGCCAGTATTTACATTGTATTCCCTGGGGAGCCGTAGCGCTCACCAGCGTTATTACCACAAGCGGCTGGAACAAAAGCAAGAAATACAGATGCAACAGGAAAATTTAAAAAGCAAGGAATTATCTAAAGGTCTTACTAATTGATCCATTCAGGAAATGGTAAAGCACCGGCGACTCCTTTCTCCTCACCTTCACCCCGTCCCGATCCACCTCTGGCTTCTTAAATGGAAGTCTCTGTGCCCTGTAGTGAAGAGCGGGAGACAAAAGAAAGCCGTTTTTGCTCAGTACTTATGTAGTGAGCATAAGTACTCACGCTCAGCGGGGGCATAAGTGAAGTACAGCGCAGGGCAGCGCAGTGCCATGATTTGGCATAAACCGAGTCTGATCCATTTGCAGTGTGCGGTTTACTGCTGCATTTGTAAATTTCCTGTGAACCCCATTAGGGTCAAAGGGCAGGCAGGTGGGATGGCCTGTTGCTAGGTGCTTTTTATCTGAACCCAGTCCCTTGGCGATTGTTCGGTACTTGTACTTTGCAACATTTCCAACAATAAACTGCCATATCAAATGTCAGTGTTTTAGAGGAAGAACTAGGTTTGATTATCCCAACAGATTTTCAGGAAATCTAGAAGACTACAGTTAGCAATTCAAAATGTTTGAATATAGTTTTTAACCTTTCATAAAGACAGGAGTTTGACAAACGCCTCCACTGTTTGGAGTCTCTTACTGGGAGAGTTCGTGATTCGTCTATAAAATGAAGTGATAGGTTCAAGAGCACTGGGAACAGAAGACTTTCTTAGGACCACCAGAGGGCGCTAGATGTAAGCGATAGGAAATACTTAAAAAACTGGCTGTGTAATTGCTAGAGAAAGGTAATTATCTGTCTATTTAAAGGTCACCTTCTTGGCCTGGCCTCGGCCTTCTTTAATGTTTCCCGTGGTATGTAATTATCCAGATTGTATTTGATTGTCCCTCCACAGACAGTTTTTCAAAGGATGTTTTTATAACGATTCTAGTTCTCTAAAATCATGAAAATTCCTCAAGTCTCAGATTTTCAGATTACTGTATGGCATTTATAGGAAATAAGCTGTCTTTAGGTAAGAGCGTCGTAGGCAGAGAAGCACGGCCAGGAGTAGAAGGCAAAGACCTCCTTCCTACATGTGCTTCCCCCGCTCGTGGCCAAGGCAGGCTCCCTAGAGCTGGACACCAGCCTGGCCGGCAAGTGGTGGCTCCAGTCGCCTGGTGTCATAAGCCCAGCATTTCCATGACAACCACACAGCTTGCTCGGTCAGAAATGGAAGGGGAAGGGGAGAGCCGTCATCAGTGAAGTTCTAGCCTAGTGGGTACACCACCCCCCTCACGCCCCTTGGTGTGTTTTAGGTCTTTAATTGTAAGCTAAGTTGAGAGCGTGGTGTCACAGCAGAGCCAGGGTGCACTCGGTGGGACCCTGGGGTCAGTTTACCGTTGGGCGTCTAGGTATCTGTTACACACGTTGGCTTTGGACTTCCTCCTTTGGCCGCTAGTTTTGTTTAAAGTAACACGTCATTCAAACAGGGATTGCAGATTTTGCTCCATGTCTGGAGCAATTATGCAGTAGGAAAGAGGACCGTGTCTCTTCTGTGAGGCGGCCGTGGATAATGAGACTCTTTTCAGACATCAAGAACACCCATTTCGTCTTGTGGCTGATTCGGAATGGTGCTTCCCTAATAGGAGATTGTAATGCTTTTCCTACGCATTGTAATAAAAATAGCGACTCCTGGTAAAAAGCCAAGACTATCAGAGATTCCTTAGCTTTTTAATCCTGGAGTAAGCGACTCTTCCAGGGCAAGGTGTAGAAGCTCTTTAGAAATTTGTTTCCTTGTACATCACAGACCTGTTTGTGTGTGTGCATCGGGAGATTCTGTTGATTTACATTCAAATATTCAGGTAACGTGAGACAGGGCGATCGCTTTCAGGTTCACCTGTGGGGTGCTCCTAACTCTTTAACAGGAGGCTCTTTGGAGCCCGGATCGGTAACATTTTCTGGTTCCCATACTTGCTCCATGGCGGCTCTCAAGCCATGTATGTGATGTCACTGAAATCAGGGGTGGGATGCGAGGTGCAGATCCTCTCTCTGGCCCTGGTACCAACCAGCCCTGCATGCTCACGTGCTGTCCACACCTCCTGCACGGTCTTAGGCTCGTTGCTGTGGTCAGAAAACCTCTTGAAATCAACTCGTCCTGACCACAGACGGGAGCAGCCATATGTGACGTTTTCCTCCCTCACCAAGTGTGTGTGGGACACGGGTCTAATGCAAGGGATTCTCAGCGATCGGAAATCACACTCATTTTTTCTTGAACTCACAAGCCAATGGCTGAGGGGATTATCATCTTAAAACCTAGGCTCACAAGTTAGTTTTTCCAGTTTATTGAAGTCATTTATTGACTTCTTTCAGATAGTACTGTGTGGAGGATGAGATACTGGGCTTATTTTGCTCATTCACTGAATTCTTTAGTGATGACCTTTTCCACGTCCATTTATATGTAACGGGGAGTACACGCTGGATGGAAAGCACCACTTTGGGGCTAAACCAGGACCCCCCGGCCGTGGCCGTATTGGCATTTTGTGGCGGGGGTCTGGCCTGGGCATCGGAGGGTATGTAGCCATATCTCTGGATTTGGTCATCAGGTTCCAGGAGCATCAGTGTCCCCCTTCCACTTGGTGACAAACAGAAATGTCTGCAGACAGTGGTCTCCCGGGGGCGTGGGAGGGGACCCCCCCGGCTGAGAATCGGCAGATAGGACTGGAAACAAGTCTTCTTCCATCACATGTGCCCTCCTTGCTTCTTGGGAACGGTTGTCATTAACCACAAAGAGTGGCCTTGCTGCGGGTGCTGCTCCTGTCCTGAGGTCACCGGGTACCAGCCCTCCGGAGTGCACTGCTACTTTCCGTAAAATTTTGACAAGCTGGTCACTGAAAATTAAAATAGATAGGGGTGCCTGGGCAGCTCAGTCCCTTAAACATCCAACTTCAGCTCAGGTCATGATCTCGCGGTTTGTGGGTTCGAGCCCCGAGTCGGGCTCTGTGCTGACAGCTCAGAGCCTGGAGCTGCTTCAGATTCTGTGTCTCCCTCTCTTTCTTCCCTTTCCCCATTCATGTTCTGCCTCTCTCTTTCTCTCAAAAATGAAAATGAACATTAAAATTAAAAACAAATTAAATTAAAATATATAACATTACAGCGAAATAAATCCTCTTAAGAACAAAATGGAAATCCTCAAATCTCATCCCTTATAATTATTTTACTAGGTTTGACATTATCTGTGCTCTCGAGGTTATTTACGGCAGTCACGTCTGTCTGGGGATCCCGGGGCAAGTCTCTTCCACACTGCGTGTCGGGTGATGTCACACGGACATCCACCATGCAGGGGGCGTTACCCCAGGGGAATTGACAAACGCCGGGACCCAGGCGTGCGTGTGTCCCCCTCAGGGAGCTGGAGGTCAAGGACGCCGGCTGTGTTCATGTACAAGAGGCTCCTCAGTGACGCTGTTTTGAGAGTAGGTATCCCGTGTCCCCTCCAGATAAAGGAGACCTGTTATGTGACTTTCAAACCGAGGTCAAAGAATGGGGCTAATGTCATCTGCAAACAATTTGATTTTTTACAAAGGTGGCCATTTTTATGTGCAGTAAATGTGCTGATGAGCTAGTTCCGTTGGAACCGTTGGACTGGAGTGAGGTGGGGCTGGCTCCCTGAGAGCGCCGGGGGCAGGGTGAGGGGCGGCACCCCCAGAAAGCTGGGGGTGGGGCAGGCGGTGTGGGCGGACGTGATAAAGGGCCTGCAGCAGCTTCCTGACCTGCGTCCCCCTTTCTCCGCCCTGCCTGCCGTCCACCGCGTTCCTGGTAAACCGTGAAGCCAGCCCAGGGCTCCTGCCTCGGCGTAGACTTTGACGGGTGGCTCGAGTTGTCTCTCGGGCCCGGCTCCCCACCTGTCCGCAGGGTGCCCGCCCAGGCCTGCGTGGCAGGACCGGCCCGTGGGCCCAGAAGAGTCGCCTGTCACAGCTCTTGATCAGAGGGGCTGCCTGGGTGGCTCGGTGGGTTAAGTGTCCCACTTTGGCTCAGGTCGTGATCTCACCGTTGGTGGGTTTGAGCCCCGCGCCCGGCTGTGTCCTGTCAGCCGAGATCCTGACTCGGATCTTCTGTCTCCCTCTGTCTGAGCCTCTCCTGCCGGTTCTCACTCTCAAGATAAATAACTAAACTCAAACGGACAAACAAAAAAGCTCTGGACGGGAGGAGACAGCATCCCTGGGGTCACAGAAGCCATAGCCCAGCCTTTGGTTGACTCGCCCCTTGATGGGGTTGGCTGCCTGGCACGGGACACTCAGCCACAGGCTTCGGCGTGGGGGGCTCCATGCAGGCCTTCCCACCCGTGGCCTCCCCTGCCTCCCCCAACCCACGGAAGGTCATTGGCGGCCTGCTCCCTTCCAGAGCAACCTTTCTGTTACCTGCCGGACAGCATAGGGACATGTGATCACGCACCAGCATAGAAAGAGATCGGTTGCGAAAAAAACCTCATTTTTCTCGAAAAAATAATTACCCAATCACCTCTTACTTCTGACCGAATGCCATTTCTGTGGGATTCTGTTCTATTGTATCTTATGACTCCAAGAAACGTGTCTAAGTCTGGCTAGGGCAGAAAAGGGCCCCGGTTACTGAGTATCCATCAGAAGAGTCTCTTGACAGCACATACTGGTAATGAAAGGAGCCTGGAAGCTTCCTTCTGGGCTTCCCACAGAGAGGAGAGTGACCCAGATGAACAGAGAAGGCAAAACTGAGGGCCGTTGGTGGCTGAAACCCGGCAGACCTGTAAGGGGGTCCTGAAATCTGATAGCCCCTCGGGGGTTTCCAGACTTTTCCAAAAAGTATTTATCTGGACATGTTTTAGGCTTCATACTGTGAATCAGAGTGGGCAGAGGACCTCAGTGTGCGTCCGGAAAGACCCTGGGCTGTGGAGTCTGATGGAGGGCCAGGGACTCAGGCCAACGAGAGGGTCTGCCATGGTTTTCGGTGGGAGCAAACATGTAGGAGCATTTCCAAATGTGAGCGTCTGGGAACCCGGAATATGTCTGCATAGGATTCCCAGGACTCCTTGATTTCACAATTAAATATAAAAATATTAAGCAGCAAGGAATGCCCCTCATATTTGCTTTTTTAACTGCTTTCTGAAGCTAAAATTTGTCAGCTCACTGAAGATGTTTGTTAAAAACCAAAGCGCGACTGAAAGAATATTTAGAACCATAGATGATTACATTTTATCATGAGTGTAAAGTGAAATTTATGAAATGTAACCCTAAACATCCCATTTTTTAAATTTCTTGGGGCTGTAACGTGTTTTTCCATTGAAGTGTCATAGATTTTGCTGACTGGGGACCTGGGAATAGCCCACGATGGGGGAGTAGTGACTTCCTTAGCGGCCACTTGAAGGTTTTCCCTTCTGGCTCCAATTGAACGCACATCCTACAGTGTGCGTTCGAAGTTGGCTCCGTGTTGCAATTTCCTCCATCATTTCCTATCGGCTGGAAGCATTATCTGGCACTATATTAAATTCTAAGATTGGCTCCCAGAGTCTTTTCTTCTGAAATTACTCAGCCAACCCTTGCCTCTGTCTTTCAGAGTACGAGCTGGTTTCTCCCTATGAGGTTGACCACAATGGAGACTACGTGTCGCATGAAGTCGCCCACCCTCAGAGGAGGAAGAGGGCGCTGGCCCAGCTCGGGGTTGAATCTCTTCACCTTCGGCTCAAGGGCTTCAGGCATGACTTCCACATAGAGCTGAAAGCTTCCAGCAACCTGCTGGCTCCTGCGTTTATGGTGCAGACTCTGGGGAAGGGAGGCACCAAGTCGGTGCACGCCTTCCCGCCTGAGGACTTCTGTTTTTATCAAGGCTCCTTACGATCCCACAACAGTTCCTCAGTGGCTCTTTCAACGTGCAAAGGTTTGGTGAGTACCCGCTGCCTGTAGCGAGGTGATGGGGACAGGGGTGTGTGTGGAAGGGGAGGGACTTCCCTTGGGATCTTTTAGCCGGCGCTGCCATCACTGCAGGATGGATTTCTTTGCTCGGTAAAAGCAGGAGAACATGGCCAAGTCACACTGTCTAAAGTACGGGGCGCTGTGTCCTCCTGCACATTGGCTGTGGTGCGCGGGGCCAGACTTCTGGGGTTGTTTTAGAAGAACTGCAGAAGAGTGCGCCAGCATGAAACTTGTTCTTAGAATTTAGGTCTGAAGACATGAACTCCGGGGATGCTCTCACTGTGACTCGCTGGTCCATTGCTAGCGCTGGGGAAACGCCTTCCCTCTGAATAGAACAACAGCCCTCCCCTGATTGGCCGGGTTCCTTATTTGATCAGCTGCTTGAAGGCACTTCACTGCTGTCATTCTGTCGAGGATCACATACGTACAGATTAGGGTGTTAATTCCAAATGCGGTGCTGAACCCATGGCCGGGAAGTGAGGTCTCCCTGGATGATTCTGTTGGCGCGTTGCCCCTTTTCTTAGCACAGCGGAACCTTGGATTGCTAGTAACTTCTCCTGGGAACATTCCACAAGATGAGCAAACCTTTCTAACACACATTAATGGTTTTTAAACATTCTATATATTCACTTTTAAGAGACAGAGACAGAACATGAGTGGAGGAGGGGCAGAGGGAGAAGGAGACACAAAATCTGAGGCAGGCTCCAGGCTCTGAGCTGTCAGCACAGAGCCCGACGCTCAAACTCATGGACCGCGCGATCATGACCTGAGCTGAAGTCGACACTTAACCAACCGACTGAGCCCCCCAGGCGCACTGATAAATTTTAATTTGATAAACGAGTAATAGGAGTAGTTCATGATGCCAAATGTCATGTGATCACAACTGCGCCAATGGCTCTTCACACACTCTCTCTCTCCTCTCTCTGTCTGTGGGATTGTGGGTGATCATTACCCATGCTCCATGCTAGGTCTCAGGCTGTGGTGTTTGGCAGAAATCAGTCATTTCTCAGAACATTGGAAGGTGCCCACAACTGGCACTAGTATATTCTTTCTCACTTCAAAGCACCTTTGGACAGTCCTTGGCTTTTCCAGACAAGATGAGCTTCGGAAGGCTTTGCTTCCCTCTAGGTCATTGGATAGGTTCCTTGTTAAAGTCACAGGAAAAGAAAAAGATTCTGTAGAGCCGATACATAGCCGATATTGATTCCATTAGTGATAGTGAAAGTCATCCCACACAATAACCTTCCTGTCTCTTGTCTCCCTCACACCAGCCATGAAGGTTTTCAAAGGTAAGTGAGGGTTAATTTGTTTATTTTTCTTTATATTTTATATTTTCATTAATAATGTGTATTATATTACAGTACTATACTCATTTTATATGAGTATTTTTGGGGGTTGTGGCACGAATCATCTGAGTTTCCATTATTTCTTATGGGGAAGTTCGCTTTGATAGACAAGTGCTTTGGATTACAACCATGTTTCTGGAACGAATTCTCACAAACCAAGGTTTTTCTCTATCTGACTTAGACATTGAACATCACTTATATGCCTCTGGGGGTCCCCTTTGCTGGTCCCTACGGTAAGGAGCATCCAGCCAAGTTGAGAAGTTTGGTTTTTTTTTTGGTTCATTTTTTTTATTGACAGTAAAGCCAGGTTAGATAAAGGGTTTACTGGATTCAAATTAATAAATACAATAATTCAATAATTTAATTATAAAAGGAAACAGTCTACTTGGAAGTTTTAGCAGAAATTGCTAAAGACAAGGGACTCCTGGCATATAATCTGTCCCTCAGGCTGACCCAGGCCAAAATCTTAATGTCTCATCATTTAATTTTCTTGAAATGTTTCCATATTTTTAAGCAAGAAGAGCTTAGTAGATACTTAGAGTCTTGAGTATATTAATATGTCAGACACAGCCAAGTGAGACAGGTCGTAGGTAGCTGAGGCGAAATGTGTGGTCGTGCTTTAAGGTCTTGAGTACATTAAAGGTTTAGCAAACAGGTGTTTGAACATTTGTTACATTTCTAGAAAATGTGTTAAGTCTGTCTTAAACTCCTTTCTCTCTTTGGAAAGAGGGAATGCAGACTCTGCATCTTAGAAGGATTTTGTGCACGGCTGTGTGAGTATTGGATGCTGAAGTTTGAATCCCTTCAAATATGACAAATGTGCAAATGCTAAATCCTGGTAAAAAGTTTTAAGAAATATTAACACCTGCTTTTCAGGGAAATTTGAAATGTGTTTATTCCATGTCTACTCTAATTGGTAAACGGCTTTTGGTCTGAGAATGGACACAGCCAGGATTTCCAAGGATTTGGCGGTTATTTGGCATAATTTTTACAATTGACGACAGTGTGGGTTATTTCTTCCATGTTCTTCCAAGACAAACAGATCTCCCTTAATTAAAGGGCTAGAACGCTTCATACAATGCATCAGAGGAAGAGATCTCCTCCTTGGCTTTCTTTATGAAAGCTCGGACCGGGAATGGAAGTCATGTGTGTGGAAGGGAGGTGTGCCATGCTTTCAGAATTCATATCCTTGGATTTGTTTGTGGAGCTTGGGTGAGGTGCTTCCCATGAACCCAGCAGGGGTGTAGGCTTACTGACGCCCAGGTCTCCCTGAGCCAAAGCTCTCCTGATGGCTGAGCTGTGCCCTGGATGCCGTCCCGTGAGCCGAGTGGGCTGGCAGCAGCTTAAGATTTCTGGTTCTCTTTGATCTCCATAGGAGTCAACGGCACAAGTTGTAAGTGACAGCTACGTGTATGATAAAGAACTGAAAAAGAACAGAAAAAAGACTCCTCTGGACAACGAATGCTGGAATTTAATATTTCGGTCACTGGAATAGAAATCTGTACGCTTTCACCATTAATCTTCCAAATCCATTAAATCCAACTTCGCTGCTCTTTTGTCTGTAGAGCACCATTGCAAACATGACCTCAGCTAGACTTAGGAGTGGAAGGTGCAGGGGCGTTTGCCATAGGACAAATCAAAGGCATTTTAAAGAAGAAAAAGGGAGGGTAAGAAGTTCTCCGTCATTAGCCAGATAAGGAAAAATATTGAATGGGAACGTCCCTCAACTGGCTGCCAAGTCCGTTATTTCTTTCCTGATTGATGGATACCCCATTCCTCCTTCAGATCTCTTAAGGTATGAAGAAAAATGGTGCTATATTAGATGAGGGCTTCTTTTTGATTACTATTGGTTTTTTTGGAGGGAGAATCTAATTACAGTACCAGGTAGATCTCTGTTAAGCTTTGCTTTCTTCTTCCAGTGTTTCTGGTTGACCTGGCTATTGAATGGCGGTCAGCTGTCAGTAGAATTCTCTTTTGTTTGTCCTGTTGTCTCTCACACACCTTTGCAGACCATAGGGGACAGCATTATGAAAATAGATCCCTGGTGGGGGAGAAATAGCCTATATTCTGTTCTCCTGGTTGGGTTTTTTTTTTTTTTTACCTACCATATGGGACCGTTACCTTGAAGTTAAAATATATTGCTTAACTGAGAGTTTGACGTCTTCAACTGGAGAACGTGGTTTATGATTGTGAGACAGTATTCCATGGTATAGATAAACCACATCTTCTTGATCCATTCGTCCGTTGATGGACACTTAGGCTCTTTCCATGTTGTAGCTATTGTTGAGAGTGCTGCTATGCTTAGCGAAATAAGTCAGGCAGAGAAGGACAAATATCATATGTTTGCACATATAGGAGGATTAGGAGGAATTTAACAGAAGACCATGGGGGAGAAGAAGGAGGGAAATGGTGGGGGAAAGGGAGAGAGGCAAACCATGAGAGACTCTTGAATGCTGAGAAACAAACTGAGGACTGATGGATGTGGGGGGGAGGGGGGNACGGAGGACCATGGGGGAGACGAAGGGGGGCAATGGTGGGGGAAAGGGAGAGAGGCAAACCATGAGAGACTCTTGAATGCTGAGAAACAAACTGAGGACTGATGGATGTGGGGGGGAGGGGGGATGGGCGTGGAGGAGGGCGCTTGTGGGGATGAGCACTGGGTGTTACATGGAAACCAATTTGACAATAAACTATTTGTAAAATATATATATATAGATATATATATACCACAAAAAAAATATATATATATGTATATATATAATTGTGAGACAGTGCAGTTACCAAGCTGATAAATAGTTCTCTCCCCAGGCCCTCAGCTTTTGAGTTTGGGAGTGCTTCGCTGTAGTTGTCCAATGAGGAGCATTGTCAAAGTGAGCCGCTGATGGTGTGGTCCTATTGATAGTAGGTAGATATTCTTGTAAGACTAAAATGGCCATTTTCCGGAGGCTCTTGTGAAAAGCGAATGGGCTTCAGTACTGGGCGGCACTGGTGCCTGCCAAAGCCGGGCACAAGGCTCTGGTGGTCTGGTGAGAGGCAGCTCTGTTAGCACAGAGCCCGACGTGGGGCTTGATCTCGCAAACTAAGATCAAGACCTGAGCTGAAATCAAGCCCAGGGTATGTAGTTCACACACCATTCCCCCCTTGGAAGTGTGTAATTCAGTGGTCTGTAGTAGATTTCCGGATTTCCAGATCACCACCACCTAATCTGAGACTCCGCATCAACTCAGACAAAAACAAAAAACAAACAAAAAAACCAACCCTGAGGACTTCCATTTCTCCAGCCCCCATCCGTCCTGGGCCCACTTATCTTACTTTCAGTCTCTATAGGTTTGCCTAATCTGGCGATTTCCTATAAAGGGAAGCTTACAACATGCAGTCTTCTGTGACTGGCTTCTTTTGGTCAGCGTACTGTGTTCACATTTCATTCATGTTGGAACTTGTATCAAAACTTCATTATTTTTTTTTAAATGTTTATTTTGAAAGAGAGTGAGAAAGAGAGAGCGCAAGCAGGGGAGGGGCAGAGGGAGAGAATCCCAAGGAGGTCCACGCTGTCAGCAAGGAGCCAGACACAGGGCTTGAACTCATGAACCATGAGATCCTGACCTGAGCTGAAACCAAGAGTTG